CAGTACTGTCATTTTGGGTGAAGGTACCTGGTAGGTTTTTTCCTGAAGTAGTTTATCGCCTGCCCACTGAAAGCTATCAACTGCGTTCGTCACTCGAAGCGGTATTGTATAGAACTGATAACTCACCACGGGCTCCAGAGGCAGTGTACGAACCATCTTTCTCTTCTAAGGCGGTGATACGTACTGGCAGTGTATCGTGATATTCTGAACACCATTCCACCTATTCCCAAAGGCGTGATTGATTTATATTTTTTAGAATGTAACTTTTGGAGTTACCCAATTGCATTACTCATCTCCACCCAACTGATGAACTGGGGATTCTTCGCCAGGTGATTATATCAAAATGCTAAGGTTTTCAGTTTTTGATTTGAACTGACCATCCTTCAGACTTCACGTTCACGCATAATTCTCATCTCTTCCAGTCAACCGTACACTGGGAAGCACAAAACTTGAGTTTCGCTCTTATTAGTGCTCATCAGTAGTGCAGATCCAACATGCCGTTCGGGCTTTAAATTCCAGACCCATAGCATGGAAGGCGTGTGTGGTTTGACTGCCAACCAGCTCATATTAGGGCTGAACGGAATTGCCAATTCATGTATGTGCAGGTGTCGTGAAGACAAAGCCTGAATGACGTTCAGTTCAAATCAATGTCAGTTATCCCACATCACTACTCACAAGTAACTATGAGTTAAGTGTGAATTTATACTTATCTTCTACCGAAGGTTGCCTTGGGTACACTGAAAAGATATTAGCACCACAGCTTTCAAAGTGGTGATCAGCGTCATGCAAAAAATGTAAATTGACCTTTTAAACCAACTATATACTCAACTGGGATGAAACAATTGGAATCAGTACTGCACTGTCCCTGTGATTTTTGTCCAAACGCATTTGCGAAATTCTATTTGTACTGAAGCAATTTTCCAATAGACTTATTCGGATTTAATTGTTGACAGTTGGATAAATGCGTAACGTATTCGTATTTACTATGAGTTTGGATATCATTGTATGAAGAATGATGTTCTCACTTTCGGGACCATAGCGGAAGCGATCGGAATCCACCTACATAATCCCCCCTATGCTCCCAAAAGCAATTCGTAAGAACACTCGGCCTTCCATGACCAACACCACACACGACACAGCCATCCCCCCACCCACCTGTAATTACCCAAACCAGTGCACGTGTGTGAGGACCAAAGTGTGAGCGACATCCGGTCATGGAACTGGAATGTTGATTATATCTGGATTTCCAAAAGTACCACTGTAATTTAAGAACATTTTCGTTTCTCTTTCTAGGGTAGAGGTCAAATTTTATAACCATACGTGTCGTTTTACGAATCAAGCAAACGAGAGCAGAATGAAGAAGAGTTGGAGTCGGAATTGTACGCTTTAGTCAACTAATAAATCCGGTACCTTAGCTGTAATAGAAAAAAGAGGTTTATGTATTACGCAATAGAAAAGGTGTATAAACAAGAGAACCAGAATATGACAGGTTTGAATCTTAAATCGTATTCCCAATGGACAGTTTCTCAAGCCAAACCGTCTCAAAATTTTGCCGCGACTAGTCGGCGTACTGTCAGACGGTATTTGGACGTGCCTTTTACGGTGTGAACATGCTAGAGGAAAGTCGGGGTAACTCGAAGTTAGAGGAAAGAGTTAAAGGTGAATGTGATCAGATGACTATTAGCCGAACCACCCATTCTATCTGTGTTCTGTCAGTTGCTTGTAGCCAGGTCCAGAGACGCAGTAGCAATGGTAATAACTAGTTGACTCGGTCTCACTCTTCTGACTATACTACGGGCTTCAGAAACCTTGACTAAAAGCCTTGGCAACAACAGCATGAGACTATATTGACAGACTTTAAGGCCTGAACGTTACAAAAGGGTTTGCCAGGTATCTCAGCTGGTTTGGCTTCCAACTTGGGGTCGATTGAGTGTTTCGTTAATTCAGTGGATCTAAGGCATTGCTTAATTGTTTTACAAGGAGAAACGATGGCCAACGATTCAAATAGGACATTCGACAGAATAAAAGCCAGGCAACAGCCGGGATTAACAAAAATCTGAGACATATGAAGCAGTGTCTCTCCAGCGCTGGCCTCTTACATGATCCTCTGAATGTTTTCCAGTATGAACCATATGCCGCAGACGAGACCTCACGAAATCTGTTCAGTGGCACCGCTTGCAGCTGCGAGCAGATGACAAGATGACTCGGTTCTTCCGATGAATAGCTTAGCGTGTCACAGTTATTGGACCAACAAATAACCAGCCTAGGCAACAACGCACGATATGACAGAGTGACTAACCTAAAGAGAAGCTAAAAAGCAGAGAGCAAAAATATACCAGTGATCATTGTATTCCATAGTAATTGTATGCAAGACATGTATTTTAATTCCTGAGTGTGAACAAAACTTTCGATAAACTATTCCGCCTCAAGTAAAGCACACCAAGCTTGACTTGTTACGGCGGATACTGGCTTCATATACTTTTTCTTTTTTAAGCATCCGGTACTGCTAAAACAACTATGCTGAACCCCTAGTGTTCTTAATCTTCCATTGTAATGGACATTGTTGAGTACCAAGCAGCAGAGCCGGCACTATGCATTCAATCCTTCATAGACAATCTAATAAAACTGCGGCGCTAAAGGTGTCTCAGTTTGATAAAGTTCAATCGAGCCTTCAGTATACATAAGGAAATCTTAACTGATATTCGTCTACCAGGATATGCTAACCAAGTAACATAATTCTTTCGTTCCCTCTTTCACCTTTCTTATTTGAATGAATGCAAAGTTCACCCCGAAAATCGGTACGCTCACATTCAAACCATCTAATAAAATATGCAAAGTTTGTGAATTTTCACTCAGAAACACTGTGTAGTTACGCATAAGTACAAGTATCTAAAGTGATTGTCCTTAAGCATTATCATAAAACTGAAACTAAATTTGATAAATTGAAGCACTAAAACTGTTTTTTTGTTGGACAGCAATTATTTTCCATTCAGTTCAATTTTTCAGTTTAAGGTAGCTGTCTTTGGGCTTACTCAAATGTATGAAGAGTAGGGAGAACAATTGGAACGCTAGAAGTGAAATCAATGTGAAAATAGATAATTCAGGGGGACTAAAGTTTGAGGGATATTGATCAGATGCGCAGGCACTACTGTTTACCAAATTCAATGAGGTCATTCGGTGTCTCTAACTATCAAATACACTGATCCCGAGTTCTTTCTTAGAAAGTCTAAAGCGATCTATATGACTGATCAAGGTGTTCATAACCTGATGCTAGTTCAGTTCAGTTTTTACAACCACTAACCACGCACTTTCGTGCGCCGGTTTTTGGTTGCTGTCCTTTGGCAGCCCATTTGGATAAAGGAGCAGAATGAAGGCTGAAATGGTAAGAGCAAAGGGAAGGTAGAGATTTCATATAGATAGCGGTTGCGAGAATGATGAGATGCACGAGAGCCACTGTTTACGACACTCAGCTGTACCACTCATAGTTTCTAACCACCGGTTACCATGACCTCGGGGTGCCAATCCAGGGAGCCTAACGGGACCTATGTGGCCCAGTGTCCTGGTTAAGGTGTTCATATCCTCGTGCCAGGTCTTAGTTTGACCGCCCTAGACCTGTTTCCATCCACAAACAAAACATCACAAGTCAATGAATTCTACCAGTTAACATGCGCAACCCAAGACTAGTCAACGTAATCTACGGTGGTTGAATAATAGGTTTGAGGAGTGACCGCGATTACCTGAAACTACACCGAACCTCAGCATTGCTTTTCTAGTTGTTCTACCAAACCCATAAACTGCGGAGTAAATAGCAATGTTTCAACACTGACAGTCTATCTTTATCCTGCTCCAATAACAGTCGTCTCCGAACCCATACAGCTGCACCGGCTGTACTACTGCAGCATAAATTGTTCGACCGTTCACAAACAGGCGAATGTCACGATCGTTAACCTCGAGTATGCGGGTCCAGAACTTTACTCACTAACTTTCCAAAAGGTGATGCTTCATAAGTAGCAAAGCCTGTGCACTTTCTGTTGATTCCTCATTTAGGGTGAGGTTGAGAGCTGAACCGACCGACAATTTACATCCACTGTAAAGTATTTACCAATCAAACAAATATGTCTTGATTGATTGGTTAAAGCAGCTTAGGTACCAGTTGGTTGCGAATAATCATGCCAGCTCGGTTGGTAACGTTCCTTTTCGACAGCTAACAACGTTCCATTAAAGTCAGATGAAAAATCGTGTTCTTTATCAAACTCGGTGTCTCGTGTTTTCTAAAATTACATATGCAAAAGGCAGAGCTGACAGCAAACTGGATAGACTCATGATAAGGATTCCCAATTTTTAAATTCCTTTCGGTTTCGATCATATCGCGTGACATCAGATGGCCTCAAAAGTCACCAAAGGAACTGAAAACATACATTTCTGACTGTGCATTGTGAAAGATTTATCTTTTTTGCACGGATGAATGCTTCACAGAAATCGGGTTTGGTGTGCATTAACTGAAGTGTGTCGCAATTCAGCTGAGGGACAACAATAATGAATGATTTAGCTTTGAGATGTTGAGTTGCACTTCAGTAAATTTCATCATGATTTGAAATAATAGAAGTGCGAACTCAGAAATTGCTGTATCCAGTCGAATTCATGTATACATACACGCACGCACGTTGTCGAGCATGCCCATATGCACACATAGGAACAAGAAGGGACTTGGTGGAACTGGAAAGGGAGATGAGTTGAACAATCCAATAGAGACCACTGAATTCTCCGGTTTGAGTGGTTTGGGTAGAAGGTCGACAGGTTTGACGGGTAAGTTTGCATATTCACACACGACAAATAATCGATTTTCATAAATTATTAGTTAGCAGGTCAGTTAAACGAATGTTAGTTAGATTTACTGAAACAGAATGTACGTTGATCTCCCGACTGAGTCATTGAGTAATGAGCCTGTCGACAATTGGGCAAATTGGTTGTTTGGCAATCCTTGCTGGTTATACACATGATCACACATCAATATCGTGTTGAACAAGGAATTTGCGTAACTGTTCCAACACGTCTTGACGCACTTCGACTGGGACAGTTTGTCTGGCCGACGGGGTGATTGCCTGTACAACTTCTTCCACTGTAATATTGTCTACTCCTTTCGTACGTATGTATTCTTTGCATGCTTGCTTGACCTTATCGTTCCAGCCGGTCTCAACTAGACGGTTTTCCACAAATTCACGTAAACGTTCTCGTTCTCCGGTCTTGACAAGAAGTTCAGCGATTTTGCTTTTGATTTCAGCACGTTTCTCGGTCATATTTGTGTTTGCGTGAAAGAATGTGGATTATGTTTTTCGTTGACTGCTTAGTCTAGTTCACTGTTTTTTGGAAGTAGACAAATGGATGGCGCTATTCAATCCAGGTCAGAAATCGATTTTCAGCTCTGGGTCGATGGATCTCATCATTTCAAGGTCATCCTGTCTGAGAAGACTCGGTTTTTTGCAGCCATTTATAACACTCCATCTCAGATGATAAAAATGGTTTGGTTCCACTTATTGGTTTACTACAAACAGGAGGATGTAACTGTGATATTACAATGCATTCTCTGATGAGTTTAGTGAGTTTAGTGGTTTGTTGATATACTAGACCCTGTAGGGCAATGTGTGCTTCGTTTGACTGGCAACTTTGAAACATGACCTGATCGGACAATAATCCTGAGCATATACGGTGTTTTAAAGAGAATACCAAGCACAAGTTTGCTTATATGAGCTCCATACTGAATTTCGTTTGAAACAGGAGACTTTGAAGAATTTCATGGGTTAGCTTCTTTTCACGATCAAAACAAATTTCCCAGCACAGAGCCTAAATGAAACCGAAGTACAATCACATGGTAAAAATGTGTAAACTTTGATTTTTTTGTGGATGATTTTTGTGTTAAAAACAGATGAAATTATCCCTCCATGTGGTCTCTTCTGGTGGGTAAGCATAGCAAAATGCATGTTCGCATTAAGTCATTGCAACTCAACAGACAGGAGAGGATTAAAAGAACTTTACAAAGTCAAAATCAAAGTTTTATTATGGAAAATACTTACAAGTGGTTGCTTTTCCAGTCTCATAGGGTTTACCACAGATGAATCGACTCATGGATCATAGAAAGCAGACGAAGCTCACAATTTATCCTTGTTTTGTGCATTGCTACGGATGTTGGAATTTAAGACATGTCAGTGTTTCATCCAATTTGTGCTTGAAGGAATCGATTGTGGGCGCAGAAGCAACATGTGGTTGCAGACAATTCCACGTGTTGCACACTCTGAGGGCGAATGAATGACGCCAGCATTCTAGTAGACAATTTTGGATAACTAATTTGAATGAGTACCCTGTCAGGTGAGTGTTGGGTGACAAGGCAGAGTGAACGACATGGGTGATCTTGGTCCTGCATTATTTGATACACCAAAATGAAGTCCCCTCGAATGCGGTGATACTGTATAGAGTACAGTTGCAGTGATTGCAGTCTTTCCGCGTAACTCTTGGAGTGTAGTCCCTTGAACATTTTAGTCGCCATTATTTGTAGACGTTCCAGAATCTTCCAATCGCATTGCAGCCATGGATTCCACGCTTAAATCGCATACTCCGTGTGGGGCCGAATGTATGCTGATAACAACCGTGGAAACAGCGTAGGTTCAAATTTGCCAAATACTCGCTTTAGCAAATCAACATGTCTTACAGCGATGGACGACGCCCCGGAGCAGTTTAAAGAACAACTTAGGTTGTCTTGGACAATGACAACGAGATCCTTCTAGTTTAGAGACATACGGAGGTTGTTGATCTCCCAGGAAATACGGAAACCGAGTTTTGTGGTGAAGGGATACGACCGTACATTTAGATGCATTAAATTCCATGTCTTTCGATCAACCATTGGTAGGCATTATTAGATGTTATCTAAAGTGCTAACGAGTCCTCTGGTTTTGTCCCCGTTTTCCATATTTTTGCATCACCTGATAACAATAACGTTTGCGGCCCCAAACTGTCTGTTGGGTCGCTTATAAATACAAGGAAAAATTGAGGGCCAAGCACGGATTCCTGTGGAACTCCCCGTGATACGCTGATGGGATCAGAAAGTGACCCAGAAACGCGAACTGCCATGGTGTGTTGTAGTAGAAATTCTTCTATCCAGCGCAGTACAAGTCCCCGAATTCCAAAGTTGTGTAGTTTCCTCGTGGTTTCCTCGTTATAATGCTTTGGAGAATTCGAGGTACACGACTTCCATTGCATCACCGTGGTCAGCTGCTTTTGTCCACTCTTCTCGGGCCAGAAGCCGGTTAATGGTATACGATCGCCTGCAATGAAACCCTTGTTAAGTAGGGGATAACACGTTGTATTTTCCAAGTGATTCATCACATTCTCTGCATCAATGGATTCTATGACTTTGGATAATACGGGAAGGAGAGTAACGGGGCGGTAGTTAGCTGGGTCGCTACGACAACCACCCTTGAGTATCTGAGAAATTATCCCTTG